CACAGCAAGAAGGTCACTGGATTGAGCCCCAGCTGGGTCAGTTGGCGCTTCTGTGTGGAGTTTACATGTTCTTCCTGTGTTCGCGTGGGATTCCTCCGGGTGCTCTGGTTTCCCCCACACTCCAAAGACATGCCGTACAGGTGAATTGGGTAAGCTAAATTGTCCTTAGTGTATGTGTGTTAATGTGTGTGTGTATGGGTGTTTCCCAGTGATGGGTTGCAGCTAAAAGGGTATCCGCTGCGTAAAACATATGCTGTATAAGTTGGCAGTTCATTAAGCTGTGGCGACCCTGGATTAATAAAGAGACTAAGCCAAACAGAAAATAAATAAATGACAATGTGCGCTTTTAAAGGGGTAATTCACACAAAAAAAGTTTATATTCTTCTGTTAAACAGAAAAGATATTTTGAAGAATGCTGAAAAGATGCAACCATTAGCTGCGTCCCAAATCGCATACTTATGCACTATTCTACGCCATTTTGTAGTATAAATAGTGTAAGTAGTTCGTTCACACTGAAAACTCTAAAAATAATAAGTGCACTTTAATTACCCGGATGATGCACTCATTCAGCCGCTAAAATTAAGTGTGTTATGATGGACACTTCACGCACTCAACGACAGCAGGTTTGCTTGCGTAGCGGAAGGGGCGGAGCTATCAGACGCACATGTTGAATAACTTTATTTATTTTGGATGGTGAAAGCAAAATTCTCCTACGAGAGTGATTTTAGCGCCTTCCGATGGTGAATGCGGCAATACCCACGGCAAGTATCTGATAATTCGGTCGTTTATTTCACTGATTTGGCAACCGTCAAACATCATCAGGGAAACGGTTTGAATTTCCACTTAGTAAAAAAACATTAGTGTGCCATTTGGGACGACACTACATACATATACTATCCTGTTGAGTGTGTAAGTGCATAAGTACAAAGTGCATGAGTGCATAGTGTATAGTGTGCCATTTGGGACGCAGCTGTTGACTTCCATAGTATTAGTCTTTCCTACTATGGTTACAGGTTTTCAGCATTCTTCAAAACATTTTCTTTATTATTTAACAGAAAACAGAAACTCTTAAAAGTCAGAAAACACTTGAGGGCAAGTAAATAGTGAGTAAATTTTCATTTTAGGATGAACTATCCATTTAAAAAACATCATGGTCATAAAACTAGAGTTTTTTTTCGTTTTGGATCATTTAATTGAATGCACCTAATTATAATCAAGCATAATTATATATATATATATATATATATATATATATATATATATATATATATATATATAGAGCCCATATTATGGGTTTTTGAAAATGCCCTTCCATGTAGTGTGTAACACAGCTCTAAGTAAAGTGAAATATCCAGCTAAGGCTTAAATCTGTAAGTGTACAGTGTTTAAAACTGTTGATTCATCTATAAAAGAGTCGACTCATAGTGCTTCAAATGAGTCGTCTTGATAACGAGTCATTAGGTGTTTCACGATGACGTATGCAAAAAACACAAGTAGTTGCGCGCGCAAACCCGGGAGATTTGAAACCTGTGGCCCCGCCCTCTAACACAGAAAAAAAGCCACACACACACACACGTACGCACGCACGCACGCGAACACGCCAGTCGAATGAAGTCACGCTGTGCTGATGGATATTATTGAGTCTCTACCCAAAGATGAAACCTCAGCATTATAGCCCAGCCTTGAGCAGTTTGAGTGCTTCTGGAAACTACTTGCTTATAAAGAAGACTTCATCAACCGATTGTTAAAGGAAGGATCAGTAAAGAGTACTGATGGACTATGTCAGAACATGGATGGGTTTCTTCCTCCATTTCACAAGTGTGAGTACGTGCGAATAAAGTTGTTGCCTTGTTTACTCTAGCTTGCAGATGTATTTAGTTGTGTTTTGTTACTTATAACCGCGTGTACAGTTTCAGATGAACTCTTTATATTCTCATATCGAGTCTAAAGCCACGTTGAAAACGCGACGCGTGCAGCTTTGTTTACGGATCTCCGAGGAGGAGGCTAATGTGTGTGTGTTGTGTCCTCCGAGGAGGAAGTTAATGTGTGTGTGTTGTGTCCTCCGAGGAGGAGGCTAAAGTGTGTGTGTTATGTCCTTCGAGGAGGAAGGTAATGTGTGTGTGTGTGCGTGTTTGTGTGAAAAGAGCAGGTAGAGTGTGACAAGCTAGGAGATCTCCAGGAGTTTCTAGTTCTTGGAGTTTTTGCTCAATAAAACATTTAGTCGTCTGTATTTTCAAGACCATCGTCTGTATTTACATTCACACACTGACAGCCAAAATCCACGCCTTACACTATGAAGCGTGTATGCACTGTGACTACTTTTATATTGTTGATTAGCGGCTGGGTATTTCACTGTCTCACACTGAAGGCATTCAGTGTCGACTAATCGCAGCAGGCTGTCATCGGTCCAATCAGCGCGGAGTAGCTTTGCACCAAGGAGGGGTTTGGGAACAAATGAATCACTAAACGATTCATATAGGAGTCGCTGGGATAATTCGGTTAAAAAAATGCAGATTACAAGATATCGAAAGTGTTTTTTGACCTTGCATGCATATTAGACAGTTTTTGGAGACCCTTACCACCAAAATATGACCCTATTTCATGTATAATAGGGGCTCTTTAAAAGACATGAATGTTGTACCGTTTTCTTTCAGGAAGACAGCCTTGAGTTTGGGGACTTTGCTGAAGTCGACCTTTCTATATTCTTCATCCTCCTTCACAACAACATCTGGTTTTCCTGAGATTTGAGAGAGCATATTTGATTGCGATTACTATATTTTCTGGAAAACATGTCACACTGGATCAAAACTACATTGTTGAGGAAAAAACAAAAGCACACAGATAAGTAGCAGCTTATAATTAGATTAAGTAATAATAGAAAATAGGATTTCGGTAGCACTAAAATCAAAAGTTTACAAAGAAGGAAAGCATTTATTTTATCTGCTCTCACTCCACATTAAATCCTTTACAGTTAAAAATATTCAATACACAAAAATGTGAGAATAAAAACAAACAGACGTTATAGTATCTCCTTTCTTATAGGTGTTTTGGAGATATGGTGTGAAAATTAATAGGTCCCGCAGTAAAACCGACCTCTCTGCGGGATGCTCACAGGAACCACCTCTTTGGCCAGGATGCCGGACTCCCACGCTGCTTTGCTGAGGGTGTAGGATTTGATAGCAAAAGCGTCCTGCTCCTCCCGGGAGATGCTGCTGTTCTTAGCCGTGTTCTCAGCACAGTTGCCCTAAATATGAGAACATATGGAGGCGTTTTACATAGTTACAGTTTCTCTACAGCATTCGCACATTACATTTGCTGTCCAATGTTTCCACAAAACTTCATTTACTCCTTTATTCACTGAAGACGTGATTAGGCTAAGTTACTATGCAAATACAAAGCAGTCTGTCTTAATAGTTCATACCACATTTGTTGCCGTTGGGAAGAAACCGTGTCCAAAACTGATATCTGCACTGTAAAACCTGATAAATTCAGATTACTCAAAAAAAGAAAAGCACCTGATAAGATTTGAGTAACATTACATTTTTAAAAGTTTAATTAGTAAAACTTCATATTATTTTGTGCTACTTTAAGTATGTACTAGGTTTGTAGGGTGGCGATTTGTTTGCATTAACTAGTGACGGCAGCTTTATAAACATTGCTTCGAAACTGCTTTAAAAGCTTTAAGGTTCTTTTTTTTTGTGTCGAATGAATAGTTTCAAAGCATGTAGCAAATTGGCAAGATCACGTGATTTCAGTAAACGGAGCTTTGAAACATTTTGCTGCACATCTTGTATCTTCACACCAAAGACAATTGCCTTCAGATGACACCAAAGATAAGTCTAAGGGGGTCCAAAACCTTTTAATATTCATTACTGTACAACAGTTTGGGTTCTGTGGGATTTTCAAATGTTTTAAAATAAGCTTTTCCTGCTCACCAAGACTATAACAAATTATAGAATTGTGATATGTTATTGCAATTTAAAATAACTGTTAAAAAGTAGTTTATGGTTTAATTTTATAATTTATTCCAGTGATTTTAAAGATGAATATTCAGCTTCATTACTCCAGTCACACGATCCTTTAGAAATCCCTCTAATAATAATAATATTAATAATAATAATATTAATAATAATAATAAAAAATCATAATGATTATTATTATTATTAATAATAATAATTTTATAGTAATAAAAGCAAAAAAACTGGGATAATAATATAATTTGAAACTACATACAATAAGCAATTATTCAAAATTTTTATGAATATAAATAAAGAATTTTAAAAAATGCTACATGATGGGTGTGGAGCTCTGCGAGCAGAGGGAGGAGTGGGCGTGGCCAGCAGAGCAGGGGGGAAAAGATGAGAGGATAACAGACCCTTCTCACAAGACTTATGACATGTTAAACAGTAATCATAATCTTAAATCCTTGAAAGTTTTAAATATTTTAATAAAAAAAAAAAAAAACATATGAACATTTATGTCCATTTATGAATGTATTATACCATCTTTGCTTTGAATTACAAAAAACGAATTACCGATTGTGTGAGGTGTTTCTAATTCAGTGCCTGTGGGGCTGAGAATAAATTTGATTTCATTCTCTTCTGCAGTCTAAAAGCTTGGGATTAGAAACCGTAAACTGTCATGAATAATTAAGGAGCAGCGTCTTCTCATAGGGTAAGAAAACTCAAGTCTATGAATAGTAATGATAAACCAACATGTCCTCCTTGGACAGGTAGATCGGTGCAACGTCACCAAATTTGATCCTGTTTCAATAATTATTTTAAACCCGGAAGATTAAATTAGCTGACAAAAGCACAAAATTATCCAGTTTTATCTACGATTATAGCTAACAGGTTCTATATGTTCTGTATGTCTTAATTGACACACTAATCTGTTAAAATCTCAAAAAAGTAGTTAAGGGTTTCTTCAACCTTTAAGTGTTATTATTGCTAACTGAAAAAAATTAACAGAGAAAAAAATAAACATTTCTTCATAAATACATTTATACTTTACTCATATAAATACACACAAAAAACGTATTTACATTAATTAAAAAACACTAAAAGATCAAAATAAAACAAAATAAAAACTAAATTTAAACGAAAAAAAGAAAATGGAAAAATGCTCCGCAACTTCTCATTGGTTAAATCCACAGACAAGCCTAAATGGTGACGGATAAAAAAAAACTTATTTAAAAAAAAAGACAAAATATGAAAATACAAGGAAAAAAGAAACATGTTGTAGTTTGGGAAAGCCAGGTTAAATAAAATAAAATATAAAAAATTATTCTAATTGAAATTATTCAACATTTACTAAAATAATTTTTTTAAATAAAAAATAAAAAACTTTAAACCAAAGTAAAAATCAATTAAAACTCTATAGAGCTATAACCAATAGTATTGATAAATAACATTGAGTACATTCACATGGACACCAATAATCCGATATTAATGTGATGAAGACATTACTCTGATTAAGAATCAACCATGTAAAAAGCAATTTTTGATTAAATGAATCTTTAATTTAATTGATTTTAGTCGCATTGTTTAAGTGCTGTACAGACATGTAAACACAGCAATCAAACTATTTCCGTCATGTAGGACTTCCGCCGCATTTTATGACAGGGTAGTCTACACACACACTGCTGTTTGACACTATTCTCTACACCTACAGAATCAGTGAAGGACCACAGACACACACATTGTGAAATGCGGAGATTTGTTTCCCCATACGGCGTGCAATAAAATTTCCATTAACACAATTTCAGCTGTTCATACTCGCATTCCAATATCTTGTTTGTCACGGGGGCATGCATGAAACGTTCCTGAATGAAAGTAAAAGTGCCAGACTGCAATAAAGTCGACAAATTAAAAATTAAATACCCGAAGTTACATGAATCTCCGGAGGAAATATAAATAGCGTGGTGTTGCAATGACTTTAATGAAACTACAATTTGTGCTATAAGATGTGAAACGGGATCATGAAAGGAACATTCAAAAAGCACCTCATTTAAACACCTTAATCATATTATAGTCTTATTCAGATTAAGGCAAGTAACTAGACTGTTGATGTCCATGTAAATGTAGTCATTAATGAAAGGTTTCTGCCTGACAGCAACAAAATGTAGGTACCATGTGGAATTTGTTGTAGACGTCCGTCAAGCCGTCCTTAACAATCAGATCCTCCATCTTCACTCCGCCATAAGGAGGTGCTTCTCTGGCCATGATGTAAGGAACCTGAGACATGCTCTCCATCCCACCAGCAACCATCACATCCTGAAAGACAACCAAGAGATTTACTTACTCTACTTTATCAGCATTGCTTCCATTATTATATTGCTTTATTATTTATATACCTGATGGCCACACATGAGACTCTGAGAGGCCAGCATGATGGACTTCATCCCAGAGGCACACACTTTATTAATGGTGGTTGCCGGCGTGGACAGAGGAAGACCTGCATGAGGAAAACATGCATTATTGTAAATTGAGAAATTGCATTTGTAAATTCCCTAAATTTAATGCACAAACATTAAAGGGGACCTAGGTTACCCCTTTATTCAGATATAATATAAGTCTTTTGCGTCTCTAGAATGTGTATATAAAGTTTCAGCTCAAAACACCCATCAGATTTTTCATTATAATTCATTATAATATCATTTCATTATAATATCATTTCAAGATGCTGTTTTATACTAATTCCCAGCAGGGGGTGGTTTTGTCGTACTGCGCCTTTAAGGCAAGTCTTTCCCGCCTACTGTTTCTACGTGCCTTCCCAAGTGCTTTAATCTCCTCCCTCGGCTGCGTCAGACAACAGACAGACTTAAAGGAAGAAGGTCTCACGTAGCGTTTGTGAGAAATACTACAGTAAGAACTAATCTTTACTAATCAGTATTGTGAAGTTGCATTGATGAGTCACACGCAATATCGCTACAAAGTGCACACACACACACACACACGCACACACGCACGCACGCACGCACACGCACACCCCAGCTGACACACACTAACGCACACAGGCAGGCAGGCAGACATAGCGCGCTTAGCTTAGCACTGTTTTTGAACTCAAATGTTACAGGATACAGGCTAACCTCTACTGCAGTGTGGATATCTGTTATGCTAATGTACAAAATAAACCTGATTTAACTTCCACAAACCGGGATTGAAGCGTCTTCCTTTATAACTGTTCTGACACGCGGCTGTGCTGATGAAGTAAAGCTGAAGTAAATCGCTGTAATTAATTAAACACATACTCTGTTTTAAAACACTTTAAACATGTGAAACTTACTCTTAATCACATTTGATGATGATTGCTGATCCTAGCGAACAGAACAGATCCTTTTATTCCCGGTTGCTTTGCGTATGTCTGCCTGGTCTTGTTGACATATACACGTGACTACCGGAACATGTTAATGCGCGCAGATGTCAATCAATTCGGTGGGCGGGAAAAAAAAAAAAAAAAAAAAAAAAAAAAAAAAAAAAATCGCACTCCTACGTAAAGTTGCGGTCAGTCTGAAACCCGCTCTAATTGGTCCACCATTTTTGTGTTGTTAAATTGAAAAAAAAAAAGGGACTGGGTGTGTTTATGTCACCCCAATATGATAGTCTATACACTATATATATATATATATATATATATATATATATATATATATATATATATATATATATATATATATATATATATATATATACATATACATATACATATACATACATACATACATATGTTTGTCCAAATAGCTTGAAAAGTAGATTTTTCACCATAGGTGCCCTTTAAAACGATAAAGATGTGAATATGTTTTTATTATTAATTTATACAATTGAAGTCAGAAGTCTGTATACACCTTGCAAAAGTGGACGCAGAAATGACACAGACTTTTCACAAAAGATAATAAGAGAATTGTTAGATCGCATTCCCCAAGCCAGATAAATGAGATCTAGCCCCAGATGCCAGATCCTGTCAGGAAATGTCAGTTTCTCCAGGTATCTGGACAACCAGTCAGCAGAGTTTCCAATACCCAAACTTGTCAACCAGTATTCAACTGAATTAAAGAAACCAGAATACAAGTCTCGCTTAAAGGGGTGGTCAACTACAATATATTTTAAACTTTAGTTGATGTGTAATGTAGCTGTGTGGACATACTAATAATAATAATAATAATAATAATAATAATTTCTTACATTTATATAGCGCTTTTCTGGGCACTCAAATCACTTTACACAATGGGGGAGATCTCCTCATCCACCACCAGTGTGCTGCATCCACCTGGACGACGCGGCGGCAGCCATTTTGCGCCAGACCGCACACCACACACCAGCTGATTGGTGGAGAGGAGACAGTGATGAAGCCAATTGAATATGGGGATGGTTAGGACACCATGATGGACAGAGGCCAGTGGGGAGATTTGGCCAGGATGCCGGGGTTAAACCCCTACTATTTTCGAAAGGATTTTTAACGACCACAGAGAGTCGGGACCTTGGTTTAACGTCTCATCCGAAAGACGGTGCTCACTGAACAGTAGAGCGTCCCCGTAACTATACTGGGGCATTAGGACCCACACAGACCGCAGGTTGGGCGCCCCCTGCTGGCCTCACTAACACCACTTCCGGCAGCAACCTAGCTTTCCCATTTGTTCTCCCATCCAGGTACTGACCGGGCGCAGCCCTGCTTAGCTTCAGTGGTCAACCATATTAGAGTTGCAGAGAGCTAGCTGCCGGCTAATACACACCATCTCTAAATGTAATATGCTCAAAGTTCAATGCAAAGGGAGACCTTGGCTTTTAGAGAGTTAGGTTAGCAAAGTCTACAGTGAATGAAGTTTGGGGACTACAAAAAAATTCACCCAGGCTAGTGAGATCACAAGGGCTTCCAGTTACGTGCATTCACCACATGCACACACTGTGCAGCGAAGGGGCATGGCCAAAGGTGCTGTAATGTTAAAGCAGAGAAAGCTAAAATGCCGTCCAAATGCTGCTATTTCCACAGAGCTTCTTTGGATTCTATATTTGGGCTTCCAAAGGACACGAGACAAAGAGAGAAGTGCTTACAATTTCATTTTAATTATGTCCCAGAGAATTATGAAAAAATATATAGCTAGCATTTGACAAAGGAGAACTTCCAGAATCTCTCTCAGTTCAGTGCTGTATTCGGCTAAAAACTCCTCCAACAGACGAAGCTGTGGATTGTGAGCCACAACCTGTAAGTATTTTTAATTGTTCAAATTGATCAACTACAGGCAGTTTCTAGCATTAATGGTATGTTGTAGCCAGGATGTAAACAACAGGAAATGCTTTTTTGACACCGCTAACAATTTTGCTACAAATTTATATTTATAGTCAAAACCTCAAACCTCAGTAAATAAATCTTCAGCAGCGCTGCAGTGTCTCTCTATGTGGACGCTTTAAGTGTGCTCTACATCTTAAATAACAAACTCGCAAAAGATGAATGTTTTATGTTACTTAGACATGCTTATTCCGAATATATGCGAAAGACATTTGTCAGATTTTATTTTAGAGAGCAGGCGTGAGGTTCAGCTGTGCGCTCTTCATTTTCTGTCTGAATCAGGCACAAACGATACGACTAACAGCTACCGTTTACACAGCACAAAAGTGTGCGCTTGTAGGGGTGTTGACGTGGAGCCGATCCGCAAATCACAGCACATTATGTTAGCTGACCAATCAGAGCCTCTTGATGGTGGGCTTTCGGAGAAACTAGGAAATATGACAGTCGTTTTCATGTTAGCGGAGTAGCTGTAATTATTAAAGTAAGATATATGAAAATGTGATTTTCTACAAGTCAAGTATGAGCACACATTGCTTTGGATCTTGTAAACACAACCAAGCCTTAAAAATACACTGTGGACCACCCCTTTAATATTCTGTGTGATATAGGACCCGCCCACCTGCACCCAGAAGAGCTTGTCTGGTTGGTGCTTGTCCTTCTCCTGCTTGCAACACATTGCCCATGTAAACCTCCTTCACCTCCTCAACAGGGATTCCTGTAGAAAAAAAAACCTTTTTAGTATACTACAAGACTTAGATGTAGACTGTCATAATTATGACTGCACTTTATTGCTTCAAGGCAAACTTGCATCAACTTTTAGAGGAAGAAAATCCCTTTCGCTAACTAACCATTTAATAGATTTAGCACTTAATTCAACAGCTTTACAGGAAAACTACAATTACTGCTCATCAATAAGGTGAGAACCTTATTATATAAGGTGAGATCACACTTGTCAAATGATTTACACTTTAAATGAACTCTGCCATGGTTCAAATCGCCTAGTGTGAGTAGTACATTATTACAAATTTGTTGAATACAATATATAAAGCAGGGCGCCACGGTGGCGCAGGGGGTAGCATGATGGCCTAACAGCAAGAAGGTCACTGATTCGAGCTGGGTTGGCATTTCTGTGTGGAGTTTGCATGTGCTCCCCATGTTAGTGTGGGTTTCCTCTGGGTGCTCCGGTTTCCCCCACAGTCCAAAGACATGCCCTATAGGTGAATTGGGTAAACTAAATTGGCCGTAGTGTGTGAGTGTAAAAGAGTGTTTCCCAGTGTTGGGTTGCAGCTGGAAGGGTATCTGCTGCATAAAACATATGCTGGATAAGTTGGTGGTTCATTCTGCTGTGGCGACCCAGGATTAATAAAGGGACTAAGCCGAAAAGAAAATGAATGAATGAATGGATAAGTTGGCGGTTCATTCCGCTGTGGCGACCCCTGATTAATAAAGGGACTAAGCTGAAAAGAAAATGAAAGAACTTATAAAGCCTTATAATTCATATAGTGCAAATTGCATACACACATTTAAATACCAGCCAACACATTAGTTAAGACCACAATTCACAGAGTTAACAAACTCTTAACTTACACTACTAGCTTAATACACTACTAATTGGCTTTTTATTAATAGTAAGTAGAAGTTGGGTTTAGGTTTTAGGTAGGATTAGGGATGCACCATAAGATCATACTTTATAACCAAGGTTGCACAATATTTCATTTCAGCATTGATATCACAATGTGATCATTCGCAAAGTCACATCACAGGATATGTAATGCTGAGTGGGTAGTATAATTGATCAATTTTGTGTGTTTTTTTTTTTTTGAGTGTAATGTATAATGATTTTAAAACCATTGAGGCAAAAGAAATTGTGCCATTTTTAAGTTATTGTTAGAGTTTTAAGTTTTAAACACTGTTTAATTTAATCATATCTTTTATTTAATTGCATCAATCTAAGCTAGTAAATTGTTGATTATAAACAATGCAGATGCACTTTTATGCAGAATCAGAGAGAGAGAATTTTGAGTTAATAGCTATATCATAGGGATGTAACGGTATTGTAAATACCGTCATACCGCAATATTAAATTTTTTCGATATTACCGAAGTCGCATGACTCGGTAAAACTATAGGTCTTCTGAGAAAATTTGCTCAGGCGAATGAAGCAAACGGGAGGTAGCTGAAACTTCATTTCCCATCAGCCCCGGCGTGGCCATAATCCTTTGCGGTCTGTTGTCGCTACAGATCCAGTAATGCGGAAATGGAGTGTGCTGCTAGTAGCGGAGATGAAAAAAAGATGGAAATGATCGAACCTAAAGCGGGTGTTGTCGCCGCGCGCGTGCTGAATAGCGGTGCTGTCGCGCGCGTTCTGATCAGCTGTGTTGTGGCGCGCGTATTGTAAAGCGCCGAGGGGGGGTTGAGCGCGCATACTCGAGAGGTGTTGTCGCGCGCCTACTGAAGGGCTGGACTGGACGGAGGTTGTGTCGCGTCGCGGGGGCACTTTTGATCGTTTTGGAAGGGCATTTTCTATCCAAGACTAAAAAGGGCATGTGCACTGCACAGGTTGAGCCCTATGTGTGCACGTGCCTTCAAGTTGGTGAATACGACTAATAACAGTCATGGGGACTGCAGAAACACAGCACACTGTTCAGATTGATGCAGACATTGACTTGTACCACAAAGAGACCTCTATCTCACTCATGGTTTGTCTTCTCAAGTGGGGGAAAGACAATGCACAACGTTACCCCACTGCTGTCAACATGGACCAAGTCATATCTCTCTTGTCCCAGAAACCTCAGTCCCAAATGAGAGGGGTTTTTTCTGTTGCAGGGGACATTGTAAATACCCAGAGATACCAGCTTTTACCAGATTATATTTATATGATAATTTTCCTTTAAACCCATCTCTATCTAAGTGAGTGAGTGATTAAATGTTGAATGTGATGAGTTTTCAACAATACTAAATTGAAACTTATTTTTTTTACATGGTTTAATAATTTTTTGTTATTAAAATTGAAGTTAGTGTTTCAAAGCTTACAGATAGATGGCTAATTTGTATGTCATTGACACTTTTGGCATTTTTTTGGAGTATTTTCAAAAGTTTTTTTTTTCCTGTAAATGATTCAATAAATACCGTACCGTGACATTCATACCGAGGTATTACCGTACCGTGAAATTCTGATACCGTTACATCCCTACTATATCAGCTTCTATGGCTATGTCATGGCGAGAAAAAAAAAGGATAGAGTTAGCACATTTTATAAATAACACTTTCCTATAATTATAAAAAATATTCTAACAATTAAAAGTCATAAACAGCAATAAATAGACAACACAAAAAAAAACATTAATAATGAATATGATAATATATAAGATAAAAATCTAAAACTGCTTTTTAAGGTTTACTTTTGATAATTGTACAATTTTGGAAGGATTCACATTTAAAAATATTTCATTTAAAGTCTCTCCAGATCAAAACTGTTCTCTGGTAATAATAAAAACTGGGCATTCTACAAGGATATGTTTAACGGTTTGGTGTCTATTGCATATTCACATTTTGGTGGTTCTTCTCCTTTGAGTAAATCTTCATGTGTGAGTTTTGCGTGTCTGATACGACATCTTCTGTAAACAATCTCATCATGATTTCATGATTTCAGTAAAATAATAATAATAATAATAATAATTAAAAAAAAGGATTTTGTTCCCATTTCAGGTTGGATTTGAAAATGTTTACTTTTTAAACACTAATCCCATTCTGCTTGCCATTTGAAAAAAATATAGTCTTTTATTAGTGCATTTAAATCTGAAGGTGGGATTTTGCACTCCTTTATCTTTCCTGTTAGAGCTGTTTTGGCAGCTTTGTCAGCTGGTTCATGTCTAAAGAGTCCAACATGTCCTGGGATCCAGCAGAAAACAACTATGTTATAAAATTTTCTCTGTAATTCATTCATTTTGATAAAACTTCAATTATAATGGGATGCTCCAGTTTAAAAGAATTCAATTTTTGTAGACAAGACTTTGAGGCAGAAAATAAAAGAAAATTGTTCTTCAGCAATTTCAATTTATGCAGAACCATTCCAATCAGTCAGTCAATAATCAGAAATTATTCATTCTTTCCAAATAGAGATATTGAAGTCATCTGGTGAAATTGTACTCATATAGCAACATATATCACGGAATAACAAAATATTGCAATGCTAGATTTTTCCAATATCAGGCAGCACTATTTAGAACTACTAATTAATGGGGTTTGCCATAGGCAAAGTCCATTCTTACTATGCTCTTTTGCTTATTATTATTTTTTTCTTCTTCTTCCTTCTTCCGTACCATTTTTCGGCGCGTAACTCGTCCCGCAGCTTTCGTCCCAGACCCTTGAAAGTGGGGTCAAATCGTGCGGTCTTATCGGGAATGGTGTGCTATGACTTTTATAAGGGGTGGGGGGTTTTTTGGCCCCGCAGGGGCCAAAAAACCCCCCCAAAAATCCCATAGACTTAACATTGAGCCGAACTTTGACGAATCACAGCGCCGAGTATGAATTTCCTAGAAATATGGGATTCACAACATCTGTAGGGGGTTGCAGCCTAAGTGAGAACATACCCCGCAAGGGGGTATAAGTTGCACCCCTGGGGCTCTAGGACGTCCCAAAGTTTTCCCATTGACTTACATGGGCCCCATTGACTCCCATTCATTTTTCTAGAAGAGCACTAACGCCCCCGCGAAATGGGACGACCTTTGAAGCGTTATAGCGCCAAGTGTGAAATTCGTAGAAATATGGGATTCGCAACATCTGTAGGGGGTTGCAGCCTGTATGAGAACATACCCCAAAAGGGGGTATAAGTTGTACCCCTGGGGTGCTAGGACGTCCCAAAGGGGTCCCCATTGACTTTACATTGCCCATTGACTCCCATTCATTTCTTGACTCACTTGTCAATCACATTACATAGCAGTGTCATAGACTTAGGGGTTGGCTTATTTCACTGAGGCAACCAATCAGCATCTCAATATGATTTTGAAGCTCACAAGCCACGCCCCCCAAAACCATTTAAAGACCCTTAATAACTGCCCCATTGACTTAACATGGGGTGGGACGTCCCATTGCAAATCCCATTGACTTCCATTATAAATGTCACACATCAATAACATTACATAGGAGTGTCATAGAGAAATGGGGGTGGGCTCATTTGACTCAGGCAACCAATCAGCATCACTATATGATAATGAAGCTCACAAGCCACGCCCACAAATGGGTCCCATAGACTTCTATTATAATAGGGCTAGATGCATATCTTTGCTTTGCAGTGTCATACAGACTTGGGGGTCGACTCATTACACTCAGACAACCAATCAGCTTTTCATTATGATAATGAAGCTCTTAAGCCACGCCCCCAAATCCATTTAAATACCCTTCATAAGTGTTCCATTCACTGCCATTTTAACTGGTCTACATGCATAAGTTTGCATAACTGTGTCCTATAGCCTTAAGGGTTGGCTCATCTGACTCAGACAACCAATGAGCTTTTCAATATGATAATGAAGCTCACAAGCCACGCCCCCAAACTGGTCCCATAGACTGCCATTGTAACTGCTCTACATGCGTATCTTTGCTTAGCAGTGTCCTATTGACTTGGGGGTTGGCTCATCTGACTAAGACAACCAATTAGCATCTCAATATGATAATGAAGCTCACAAGCCACGCCCCCAAACTGGTCCCATAGACTGCC